GGAAAATAGTGGCTGAGAAGGGGTGGGGGTGGGGGGGCGCGGGCAGGAGGTTGGGTCAGAGCAGGCCAGTCTCAGCTTGTTTTTCTAAGAAAGAAAAGTTTGAAAATGGGTCTGTTTGTGCTCACCTAGCATATCAAGCCTCCTTAGCTGCACCGCCCTCTGTAGCCTCACACTTTTTTCTGCCTTGAACCGCTTGCTTTTGCTTAAATCTCTCTTATGGAAATCGAACACCCAGTAGCAGAAAACATAAGCAAGACTGATTTCACGCTGGCTAAAATCGCCTCCTATTAATTTCTGACTCGGATAAGTCGCTGAGAAAATCCTAGCTTGACAATGCCACTTATCTGTGAATTTTTTCCCCGACCTGCTTTCCGTGCTCGCTCACGCACAACACAAACGTTGCCTGCTTAGTGCTGGATAGGATCAGACATCTTTCTAAAAGTCCCCAAATTGCTTTCATCCATCTCCCTTCCTGAGAAAAAAAAAAACCACACCCACACGGCATCAGATGATGAGAAACGTGTCTTTATTGGATGGTTTTTAAGGGCATTGTCTGCTGAGGGCCTCATGGGGGTGATCAGGGCATACCCACCGCCGAAAAGTCAGGAAGGACTGTCTATTACCTCGCTAACACACCGAGCAAGTCACAGGAGCGTTCCAGGGGGGTTAGTAAATAAATTAGGGGGAAGACGTGGGGTTTGGAGGCCTTCCAGCTGACTGTGTCTCTCTCCATAGTCTGGGGTCTTTAAGAATGTACCATTTCCTGGAATTCTAGGACAGAAGAGGCAAGAAAGGGTCAGTGGCTCGGACTTTACGGACACGCTAGGGCCATGAGAGTTCTGAAGAGGAGAAGAAACAGCAAACTGCCAGGTGACAGGCATGGCCCCTCAAAGGGCACAAAAGGAAGAAAGTGTCACCTGCTGCAGGTCCAGATAGTCTAAGTGTTTCCTCTTCCTGCACAGTCTCATTTAACAACCTTCTTTAGCTTTGCAACCGAGCCCCTTGTGTTAGAACCTGTCGACCCAGCCACCTCTCCCCGCGGTGGGTGAAGTCAGTGCAACCGCCGATCACAGCCTGTGATCTTTTAACTTCCTGTCTGGTCAGTTTCTGACAGAAATGGGAGGTTTTCTTCTATTCTGTAGCTACATTTTGCATTTTTAGGAAACATTTAATAGGGTGGGACATTGAGCTAACTTTCCTCTTTGAACCCTAACCATACACCCAAAAGTTTCTATTACCAAAAGGTAATGATGATGATGTCTGGCTGCTAGAGGTAGGAATTGAAAACTGGGTATTTACTTCATGTTTATTAGCAAGCTTTACCTGTTTGGAAATTTTCATGGCTAGGTTTTTAAAAAAAATCAATCTTTCCCTACCTAAACTGTTTTCCTGAGCTATTTATAGAAACTACATCAACTCCCATGAGGTAAGTTATAGTGACATCGTTTTGATCAGGTTTTTAAAATAAGGACCTAAAGTAGCAGTTTTTAATGTCAAGTCATTACCACCATAACGACCACACTTTCTACCGTGTTGGCACGAGCACAGAGTAGCTAACGAGCGCGTGAGCAACACGACAGAGTCAGACAAGCATAGCTCTGCAGCCAGGCAACTATGCTAACATTGGGATACTGGGCTCTGCACACAGAAGGCTCCACAAGTGGTGTTTGAATCGGTTTATGTGTCCTCTGTCTAATATTGTCTACTTGTTATTTAAACCCTTGAAAGCTAAGTCTTTCCAACTCTAGACAATAGACCCTTTAAAGCATGAGACACTCATGAGAATGGCAGTCCTTCCCTTCTTACTCAGAGGTGCTTAGATACCTCGGACAGAAATTCCTTACACTATTTTCAAGGTCTGTGAGACTGTCTTGCAAATAATTGGCCAGGTGACTCTCTAATCCCCTAGTCAAGTAAAGGATATTTTCTGGTTCATAGACAGTGACCAGCGGGACCAGCTTCTCTGGTACAGCCCCGGTCATTAGGCCAGAGTCTTCCCTTACATTAGTTGTACCTTCTCTTTAGTCCCATTTTGCAGATGTGAACACTGAGGCTCAGCAAGGTTAAGAAAGGTGGCTTTTAACCCACATCCATCTGATCTGACGGCCCAAGTCCCCTGATGCTCCCCGCGCTAGTCTTTTATGCTCTGTGCAGGTGTGAACATACCTTCAGCCCCAATTTTTCCGTCTCCATCATTGTCTGCAGCCGCCATCAGGGACTTGGTTTCTGTCTCAGTCAGTTCTCTAGCACCACTCTCAAACTTCTGGAGGAAAAACCTGCAGGACATTAGAGACCGAGGGGAATTTCCTGAAAGACCACGCATTTCCCTGCTTACCCTTTCTCTTTCTCTTGACGCAGCAGACCACCTGGTCCCAGCAATTGCGGCCATCAGTCAAGGTCTTAGCAAGCAAAGGTCTCCTTCACTGTAGAAAGTATTGCTGGGCATTTTGTTTCTGAAAGGTTTCTCGGTTTTGTTGATAAGTCCATTAGCCAAAGAAAAGCCCTAAAGCCAGTGAATCTTTGGACCTCCATCTTAGGCACCCACGTTTAGATGTGTGGCCAACTGGCCCATGTCCCCCCTCTCTTGAGGCTCTGCTGAGTGACTGGTACCCAGGCTGCCAGTGAAGAAATACCGAGGACCCCAGCCCCACTAGCAGTGTCGGGGTGCCATCCAGGCTTAGGACAAAGCTTACTTAAGCTCTTCTTCATCCAGGTACCCGCTCTGGTCGTTGTCTATGAACCGAAACACATCCTTCACCTGACTGGCCGACATCTTGGAGAGGCCTGATGTCTGGAAGAATTTTTGGGGCTCAAACGTATCTGGGTCTGAAGAACAGAGAATGGGTTATTCTAGTGCTCATCAGACCGCATCCTGGGCTTGGGCCAAGGTGCTGAAAACATGGGTCATTGAGCCACAGGGATGCTTTACTCAAAAAAATAGTGTTTTTTTTAAGAAAAAGAGGGCTGTGACTGGTTCAAGATCTTTAAGCAGCTAAGACTGGTTGCCTTTGGGTATGTTCCCCTGGCTGCCCACCCATCCGCTTTCCCTCTCCACTCTATTTGTCCATCCCTCCTCCGCTCCTCTGCCTCCCCCGCCCGTTTTATAAGTGTGTCTCCAAGACCCCAGCGTCACTGGTCTACTCGGGGAAGGGAAATGCCATCCTCGGGGCAAACAGGCTACATGGCAGCCAGTGACCTCTTTCCTCACTGTTAGTTTCCTTCGCCGTACAGACATGTCATCGTACTCTCAGATCTCATACTCCTGTAATCTTAGTAATTAATAACAGTTTTATTCTCTGATCCCATGAATTTTCAGCAAAGTTCACATGTTAATTTTTGGTGGTTTTGCCGGAGGTGCGAGGAAAACCCGCCGTGCCTCGGCCCCCTTTACCTTGGCACTCCTGCAGGGCCGCCGCGATGTCATCGGCACTGAGGACATCTGTGATGCTCATCCTCCACCTGCTCACGCGGGATAAACGGCACCTGGTGAGTGGCCAGCAGGGACGAGCATGGCCTGGGGGAGTCCCCCCTCTTTGGCCCATGGAAACTGTACATTCGCTGAGAATTGTTTTGTGATAAGCGTGGTATTAAGGGATGAGACAGACTATTCAAACAAAACCAAATACTGAAAAGGTCCAGCTGCCTTTGTCTCGGGGCCCTCTCCTGACTCTACCCCAAAGATGAAATTAAAAGTACAACCTAACAACCGACTTGATTTCATTTTCTTATAAAAATGATATTTATGTAATTAGCCACTTATATAAGCACCTACAAACCATTCTGAAGTAAAGCATGTTACAATTGCCATAGCATTTTCCTGCACCAGCCAGAGAAATGCAGTGTTGCAAATTCCACTCAGGAAAGGATAGAGCTTGGGCTGCGTGCAGACCTCCTGTGGAAGAGATACCGTTTCTCCTGGAGGACGGGAATCAGAGACATGAAAAGCCCGTCTGCCGGAGATCAGAATCCTCCCAGGCGACAGCTCCATGGGAAAAGAGAAACCTGAACGCAGCATGCACCAGCCTAATAGGAGTGCACAGAGGAACGAAGAGTCTGGGGTCTGGCAGATCCACCAGCTACTCACCGTTTTAGATTTTCCCCCAAGAAGAATCAGAAAAAAAAAAAAAGTCGAAGGAGCAAAAAACGGATGTGCTTTTGCGTCCTTACTGACCTACCTTATATAGGATTGAAAAAGTGATAGTAAGAACCTCTTAGATTTCCTGTTCAAGGATCAAGTGCACGTAGCTCAAATGTCTAGCCTCGCTAATTAAACCTCTTTTTTTTCTATTTATATCTCAAGGGAATGTGGGTGGGAACAGCCAATTTTTAAAAACAAACCTCAACAAACCTTAACTAAGATTTCAATTCTGCAAACAAACCCCTCTGTTGAAGTGTGGAGAAGGTACTAGAGGCCTGGGAAAGAGGAGGCAGGGGCTGGAATGAGGTAAACACATGTGGGGTGCTCCATAAGCTACAGAGGGCACCCCGGGTGTCAGTGGCTGCCATCTGAGGCACGTCTGTTGTCAACCTCTGAGACTGTGGCTGTGGGAGGCCGACCTCAGTCCAGAGCTGAGACTCAAAGTCAGTGAGTCAGGTGGACACACAGGACTTGTCCTGCAAACGGGTGGCACCGGGTAGATGACTTTCCAGAAAAGCCTTGACTTCTATGTTTCCTAGCTGCATCTTCAATTGCATGCACTGAAAAGGCAACAAAGTGGGGAAACCACCAACCATTCCCAACCCCATAGCCAACACTGGCAGAAAAAATGAGGCTGGGACTTGAGACCACAAGATGATTTTTGCTTTGAGCAAACATTAATGAGTCCCCTCTGTGGACAGGACTGTGCTAGACTCTTCTATTTTATTTTTTTTAATTGTGGTAAAAAATGCATACCATGTGATTTTAGATCTTAATCATTTTGTTTTAAATATATCTTTATTAATTTCTGAGAGAGGAAGGGAGAGGGAGAGAGAGAGATAGAAACATCAATGATGAGAGAGTCATTGATCGGCTGCCTCCTGCAGCCCCCGACTGGGGATCGAGCCGGCAACCTGGGCATGTGCCCTGACCGGGAATGGAACCTTGATCTCTTGGATCCTAGGTCGATGCTTAGCCGCTGAACCATGCCCAGCCGGGCCACCTTGATCACTTTTAAGAGCACCTACAGTGCAGTAGCATTAACTCCATCCACATGGTTGTACAACAGACCTCTAGGACTTTTCATCTTCAGAACTGAACCCTACACCCATTGAACGAGAACCCCCAGTCTCCCTCCCCCCAGCCCCTGCCAACCACCATCCTGCTTTCTGTCTCTAGAAGTCCGGCTATGTTAGATTCCTCTTACAAATGGGATCATAGTGTGTTTGTCTTTTTGTGGCTGGCTTATTTCACTTGGCATAATGTCTTCAAGGTTCATCCATGTGGCCGCATATGTCAGCATTCTCTTCTTTTTTAAAGGCCGAATCCAAGTTTTTTAAAAGTCAAAACCCAATCCCATGTTGCAATCAGAAATAGTGGCTTAGGAGTAGATAGTTCAGAGTTCTAGGGAGAGGCTTCAGCTCCTCCCTGTGCAATATAATCTGACGAGCGTCTTCGAGTTTCCCAGGTGTATGCCGGTGCTTCCACCCCGCATTGTACTTTTGCTGGAACAAAAAGTTTGTCTCAGGAACATCTGCAGCATTTCTTAAGTTACCGAACCTCAGGCCAGCACCGTTTCTGTCCTGCCCACATTACATGCCCAGTGCCCACTGGCACAGTGCCAGACCTGGTTAGGTGCTCAGTAATTATTTGATGAGTAGATACGTAAAAACAGAAAACAACAACAACAAACAAACAAGCAAAAAACCCCACAACCCAAAAACCTTGAAAACAGGATCACCAGCCAGCACCAACTTGCTCAGCTCTTAAAAAACGGTTTCTGAAAATAAGTCTCAAGAGTTTCAAGTTAGGTTTCTGACATTAAGTTGCCATGGAAACTCTCTGAGTCCTTTTGTTCCCATGGAAGGGTTGGTGATTGTCCATTGAGATTTAAAAATAATTTTTTTTTAAATCTTGCCATTTAAATGAAAATAGCATATGGATTAAACCAAGACACTTGAGATTTTCATGTTGTTTTTCTGATAGAAAATAAAGATAGAAGAGAGCCAGTGAACATCATTTGAATCAACAAGGTAGCCAAGATTATGATTTGAATTCCATTGTGTGCAATCTGGGGTGAAAAAATGTTGATTCACACAAAAGGGCAAATAGCGTATGATTCTGCTAATACGAGGTACCTGGAGTAGGCAAGTTCACAGAGATAGAAGGTAGAAGGGTGGGTGTCTGGGGCTGGGGGAAGGGATGGGGAGTACTTGTTTAATGGGTGCAGAGTCTCAGTTCTGTGGATGGATAGTGGTGATGGTTGCACATCAACGTGAAAAGCCACAGAACTGTACACGTAAAATGGTTAAAATGGTAAATTTCATGTTACTATATTCTACCACAATATAAAAAAAAGCTGCCTGGCTGGCGTGGGTCAGTGGTTGAGCATCGACCTATGAACCAGGAGGTCACAGTTCGATTCCCAGTTGGGGCACATGCCCAGTTTGTGGGCTCAGTCCCCAGTAGGGGGCGTGCAGGAGGCAGCCGATCAATTACTCTCTCATCATTGATGTTTCTACCTCCCTCTCTCTTTCTCTGAAATCAATAAAAAACTTTTTTTTAAAAAAGGATTTAAGAAACAACAACTGGTTCAGTCGTCTTCATTATCTTGGCCACAGATTCACTATCACTCCCAGGAAAGATCAGAAGGAAGATTTGGAATTAGATCTTAATTCAAGCCCAGCTCTGCCCTTTACCAGCCGTGGGCCTCTGGGCTTCAGTTTCCTCTTGAAAATAGGGGTCATGCAAGCACCTGCTCAGTCAACTTCCCAGAGTCCTTCTGAGGATCAGGGGACCGAGTGCAGATCAGCAAATGTCTGGAGATGTCTCAGAGTCCCCTGTTGAATCCCACCCACCCTGTCCCAGGATTGCAAGAGGATTTCCTCTGTGTTCATTCTGCTCTATTGGTAGGGGCTTCCTGAGTGGAAGGAATGGATGCTGGGGTCAGCTAGCAATGTCTGCAGTGGGGAAGACAGGCTGTGTGTTTGGGCTTTGCTACTGCCAATGGCCCTGGACTCTTAGATCAGCCTTCTGTCTCAGATGTTTGGTGCTGTTCCAATCGATCACCTGTTCGAATCCAAATCCCCAGTGAACTTCTTAGTCCACAGACTTCCTCCATCCAGGGTCCCCACTCTGACCACCTGCTGGTTATGTAGCCCTGGGAGGTTAGCAGGTTAAGATAAGAACGTGAGGTTTTAGAACAATCTCCTAGATTTGGACCTGGCTCTGACACCTGAGGTCTCCATCTCCTGACTCCTTGTCCTATCCTAGGCGTCATCACGGCCTATCCCCACTTTGTTGGTGACAAACCTCTTGAACATTTCTGAGGCCCACTTTTCAATGTGTTTGCCACTTTCATACTCTTTCAATACATGTCACCTCCTAAACATTCCTCAACTTCTTCTTTCCATACCTCACTGTCACCACCATAGCCCAAGGCACCATCATATATTTTAGGAACAACTGCTGTGTATTCCTAACTCGCCAACCCTCATCCACTCGGACTCCCCTCCAACCTAGCTGGGTGCATCTTTTTAAGGCCCAGGGATGCCGTAATAAAGTACGACAGGTTGAGTGGCTGAGAACAAGAGAAGTCTATTGTCTCAAGTTCTGGAGGTCAGAAGTCCAAAATCAAGGTGTTTCAAGGCTCCCTCTGAAGGCTCTTGGGGAGGACCCTCCCTTTCCTTTTCTAGCTTCTGGTATTTGTTGGCAATCCTTGGCATTCCTTGACTTGTAGCTGCCTCTCTCTAATCTCTGCCTCTGTCGTCAGACGGCCAACGTCTCCCTTTTCTCTTTGGGATTTAGGAGCTCTGTATCAGGAACCAGAGTCAAAGATGATATATTAGAATAAAAGGTGTTTCTAGTGCTTTTACCACTTAGGAAATTACTGTGCCAGGCACTGGGGGCAGGGGCCAACATGCAGGGTGTCCCCCAAAATGTATATACTCTTTGAATAATTATTAATTCCAATGTGTTAAATCTAAAAAGAAATAAACATCAACTAAGCTAACAAAAATGTATGTGTATACATTTTTGGGGGACACCCTACGTATACATTCTGTTATCTCACATCTACAGGATGAGCTCTCAAGGGGTCTATGATATACACACTCATTTTATATTTATTATTTCTACACCAGTAATATTTATTCAATTAACTAGCCAATCATTTAAATTAATAAATTGTATTCCTTGTGCCCAGCACATGATAGGCACTCCGTGGTAATTTACTAAGTAAATGAAGAAGAAAACGGATGTTCTGCAAGCTGGGGTGACCTCCCCAAGATAAGACAGCTGGAAAAGTCAGAGCAGCGGTGGGCTCCCACGTCTTCTGACTGTCTGTCTATTCAAGGCCCTGTCCAGATAAGAATGTGAGGCTTTAGAACAAACTCCTAGATTTAGACCTGGCTCTGACATCTGAGGTGTCCGAAACTTTTGGGTGACAGTACCCCTTCCAAGAAGTTGGTCTTATTGGATGGTTTTCTCTGGGGCCTGATTCTTGGGGAGATGTCT